TGGTTGTGGTGGTTGTGGTGGTTGTTGTTGTTGTTGTTGTTGTTGTTGTTTGTTGTTGTTGTTCTGTTGCTGTTGCTGTTGTTGTTGTTGTTGTTCTTGTCGTCGTCGTCGTCGTGGTCGTTGTCGTTGTTGTTGTTGTTGTTGGTGTTGGTGTTGGTGTTGTTGTTGTTGTTGTTGTTGGTGTTGATGTTGGTGTTGTTGTTGTTGTTGTTGCTGCTGCTGCTGCTGCTGGTGGTGTTGTGCCTTTGAACTTGGTGGAACGCTTCAGTTGTGACTCCCCAGAAATCGAAACTTTGTGATGCGAGGCCGGAGGATGGTAATGCACCTGGACTTCCATCAGCCTCCCACCAATACGATCAGCTGGCTGCGTATAGCTTGTATAAACAGAACTGGCTCAAGGTCCTCATTCAGCATTCGTGGCATTTCCACGAGGTGTACTCCAGCGCTCATATGATGCTCGTTTGCCCAGGCCAACCAGCAGCTCTTGAGCAATGAATGCGATGCGGCCACAAGTTTGCTGCTTCGCGCGACGGAGCAGCTGCACAGCGCCAGCTCCGGTTCGTGAGTCTCTCCGGCCTTTCCTTCGTTTTGCTGTGTTGTTCATCTTGTCTCGTCTCTCCCCCCCCCTCTCTCCCTTGCATTGCATGTGCAGCCGAACATGACGGAATGACGAACTCACCATGTAGGTGCTTAAACACCAAGACACCAACCTGCCCTTTGTCGGGGATGTACAAAGTTTACATTTCCAGTTGGCCTTGCCTGACCTTCGGTCGCAGCGTCATTGCTTTAAGGTTCAGCCTTCTGGAACTACAGGCAGGGTCATTGAAAAGACGTCCGTGATGCCACGGGGAGAACCTTTGCTTAAGGCGTGTCCGTTTCCGCAGAGTCAAGGAACATGCGCATGATCCCCCCAGCTGTTGCGGCCGCCAGCTCCAATTTGTGCATGTACTGAGAAGATCAGTCCTGGGTAGTTAGTCGAACTGCCCCTGGGGCTGACATTGCCCGGTGGCAAAAGGCCCAGGCCATGACTACAACAAGTACCCTCACCAGCATGGTAAACCAAGAGCTGAACGGCGTTGTCAACGCAACAGTTGCTAGGTGGCATAGCCAAGCACTCGATTTCCAGGAGCGCGCTAAAGCCTAAGCTGCAAACCCTACCCCGAACAGCCAACCTCTAAGAAACCCCTGACTTGAGCCAAGGTTACATTTCGAGTTCGAGCTGAGACAAACTTGGGGGATCATGTCTACCTCGTGGGAAGCGGGGCCTGCCTGGGGTCTTGGAAGCCACAGGCAGGCATCGCGCTCCGCACGCATGAGGAGGCCTACCCTCTCTGGTGGACGACGATCCAGATCCCCCTAGACAGCCGGTTGAAGCAGAGCATCATGATGGAGTACAAGTTCGTGATCCGCCGCAATGAAGGGCAGATGGACTGGGAAGATGGCGCAAATCGAGTACTTCCGCTCTCCTTGAGACCCGATGGAAACTTGGAGAGCACACCCCCAGAGATGGCCGTCTTCGGCGAAAATCGTGATGAGAGGCTACAGTCCCCTACCCTAGTCCCTGTCATGACGACGAGCACCTGCTTGGCGGACCTGAACTCTGATAGCCCTGATGATATGTCTCAGTCTTCTTCCGGGACCGACAGCTCACCTCAACCTGTCAAAGTGGCAAGTTCGACTCCGAAAGCGAAAGCGAGAAGTTCTCCTCCATACAGTCCCTTCAATCCAATTGCAAGACCTTCTCCCAGACCTTCAACAAGACCTTCACCTACACCTTCCTCCGTGGAAAATTCACCAACGCCTCTCAAGATTGTGAGGGTGCCCAGCAAGCCGGTGAGCCGGCCCAAGACCAAGAAGAGCCCCTCCGTTGAGGTGGACAACCAAGTTGCTAGCAAGGGGAAGTCTCCCCAGGACACAGTGGCGAAGCCTCCACAACCCGCCCCAGTGGCAAAGTCACCGACGGCTACTTCGCAGACATAAGTAAAGTGGAAGGTCCTTTTTTTGGTGTATTGCTAAACACCGCACCTTTCTGCGTCCGTTCCGAAACTGAACGAGTAAGGTTGAGGATTTAGCGAAGCCACCGCAAGACAAGAAGGAGACAACGGCCCAAGTCGTCAAAGAATCGCCGCCAGCTGTCAAAACCGAGCGACCACCCCAAGTTGCTAAAGTGGAAAGTGTACCAGAGCCTATCAAAGTGACCAGCTCACTTGAGGACGCGGCTTGGCTGCTCTTGTGCAAGACACCTGTTTCGAAATTAGATTGGTTTGCTCAGAGAAGAGAAGCCCAAACATAGACGCATCTCGTCAGACCCACTGATCTAAAACAGCACCTGGGATGCAGTGCCTGCTGCTGCAGCAGCACGATGTGCAGCTCAGGTGAAAGTGGAAAGTGCCAAGATCATTCCTGTCAGCCCCCAGGCTTGGCAGAGAACTGACTGGAAGTTGCCCCTGTTTCAGGTTCGAGTTCGTTGAAGTTCCCTCTTGCTGGCGTGTGCAAAGTAACGCATGCAATATGTCGGGCGAACCAGGACAGCGTGAGAGTGGGGTATAGACTGTGCACCAAGTGCCCGGTTGTGATTGAACAAGTCCCTCACTTGGCCCTGACTCCGAATCCACAATAAAGGGAAATACAATTCGTGAGAGTTCAACTTGCGAACCCTTCTCCTTGTTATCGATGTCTGATCATCATAGTCTTCGTCACTCTACAGCAGCCGCTGTACGACGACGGCAAAGACCACTGCTGCTACCACGACTGTTGTTGTTTCTGCTTCTGCTAGCAGGTGCTCAAGCCTCAGTCCATCAAGCCGATCAACCCGCGTTACGTCTTTAATGCCGGAGCCCAGCGTCTTGCCAAGCCAGCCGGACGCTGTGAGGATGCCCCGCGGCTGAAGTTTTTCTCCCCACTGTTCTGGTACCTTCATATATAGTACCTCATTAGCATGACTTTGCTGGTTGGACTACGAGCGCAGACGCACAGAGTTCACCAGCATCTCGATCGAATCCCCATCCAAAGGCTTTCTTCTTCAGCACGAATGCAGCCGGTGTCGCAGATGGGGTGGGCCAGATGGAACAATTCAAAGAGTACGGAGTCGACGCCGCCGCCTACTCCGACGAACTCATGCGTCTTTGCGCAGAATACATGCACGAGCAGCTTATTCGCATTAATTAGTTCGAACTGCACTGGGCTGCTTCGGAACGTGTTGCTGCATCCGTACTGGTCCATACTAGTCTATAAGCTTGAAGAAGCAGGATGTCAGATGACCTGCATGTAACATGCATTGCAAGAGAGCATACAGCAGCTTGCTTGCCTAATCTGAGCGTGGAAGGGCCGCGGTCGTCGTGACAGTTGGTGCTTGTTGAGATATTCTTAGCCCCTCGCATCTGCCTTGCGAAGACGGCCCCATTGAGTATTTAGCGACACTGTACATTTGCGTCGAGAGTCTTCCTGTCTCGTGTCGTTGGTTTTTGTTCCGCATTTTTCGGTTGTGTGTGTGTGTGCGCGTGTCTGTTTGTCTGGTCGTGATTTCTGTTGTGCCTCCGTGCCATGTTGTGCCCTTTTCGATTCTTCGTAATCATGTCTCGTCGTCGCATCCTGGCGTCGTACCTTCATGTTGTTCCTCGCATCGTGCCTCATGCTTCTCGTCTTGCGATGTCTTCTGGTCGCATCCCCATGGAGCATCTTGCGTCGCAGGTCGTGTCGTTGCGAAGTTTGCGAAAGCAGCCTTGCCCAGAAGCTTCCTGCGGAACTGCAGTAAAGTCCCCCTTGAACCGAATCTTTGGGAGATGCGCGCATGCAAGCCGGGAAAAGCATGCTGTTACCTATGTTGCATCCCGGTTCAGGTCGTTCCCTAAACCTTATACTCGCCTTCTGCGAGCGTGAGCGAGTCGAAACCCCATACTCCACTGCTACGAGGAATCCTACGGGCAGCCCAGCAGCCGCTTTGGCCTCGGCCGAGCAGGGCGCAAAATCTTTTGGCGCCAGCACGGCCTTGGTCATGACCCTGGAAGGCAATGGGATTTAGGGTTGGGGGTTGAGCTCCCAAAGGCTCGAAATGTCCGCAAATATAATATAATTAGATGCGGTTTGGCTTCAAGTTGAACAAATCCAACACTTGGCCAGTGTTTGTCCTTCTGCACTTCTACACTCGCCGCCATTACCAGTTCATGTAGGCTATGTGATGGAGAAGTCTTCGTCTTGCTCTCAGTCTGCAAGCGCAATTGCTCTTCTTATTGTCGTTGGCCGAAGTGATCATGGTGGCGGTCGTTGTCGTCGTGGTCGCGGCTTGTTGCCGCTACTTAGTTTGCAGCAGCACATACTTCTTTATGGATGAACCACTGCCGATAGCACAAGGACGATGGTAGTGAATACATTTTGAACAAGCCTTTTCATGCGACTATCGCACATATGCTCGCCACGAATTGAACGGAAATGTTTCAGGATGCAGGTCACGGCTTTTGGGGTTTTGGGGCTTGTGAAGACAAGAACGGGTTCCAGATCCATGAGCATCCTGGGCACCCCGGGGGGTCCCTTTTGCGACATGGGGTTCCGATATGCTTTGTGATGCTTCTATATAGGACATCGGTTTCACATTTTTAGCTGGGAGGGCGAGTAACCCGTGGTGACGGTTGTGGGTCGAAAATGCCTTGCGGCCCACACAGTGGATGGCTCCAAGAATGCTCAATTATCTGGAGCTAGTGGCAACAGTTTCAATACTCATAGATGGTCTGCATGGTTCGGTCCGGGTCTTCGAGTAGCATGAGTAGGAGCAGTTCTGTCGGATGGAGGGTAGTGAGCACGGATGCCTGTTAAAGACGGCGGACGTCCCTGATCGTGTCTGATCGCCTTCTACCATCACCCGGTGGTTTTTGCCAGCCATTAATTCTTCAGGGCTTATTCGTTGCAATGTGGGAGTTGTAGACTTCTTTGAATAGCAGGATCCTTATTGCAGGGATCATTTTTCCACAGAAGCCCCCGCCCCCCAACCTGTTACTGAGCCACTCTCCCGACCCTGACCAAGCCCTGGCTATGACGCTGTCAGGCCAGATCGTTCGCGTGGCCAACTTAGGAGACAGCGGCTTCATGCACCTAGGTCCCGGTTTAGGGTTTAGGGTTTAGGACCTAGGTGCTGCGAGGGATCTGGCCGGGCGAGCTCAGTTCAAGCCTGTGGAAAAGGACCTAGGTGGAGCAGCGGAGTAGTTGATGGTTTCCTGCGCTTTATGGTAGCGTCTGGTTATTTGCATGTGAAGCAACCCGAGGATACCTAGAACCTAGAGCTCTAAAGCCCGTAGCCCTCAACCCTAAACCGAACCCTATCCGGCCAACCCAGGCACCTCCGATCCAAAGATTGGGGGATGGAGATCGTCCAGAGCCTCGTCCGCTCCACACGGGATTCATGTGATATGATGTTGCGAGAGGATGCAGGTCGTGGGCTACGGAATGGGCAGAATCATTAGTTCGGATGTTCCCTTACTTTGCCCTTGTAGTTATAGTTCAATACACCTGAAAACCCTATGCTTCTTGGCTCCAGAGTGTGGTTGTTCCCACAGTTGCAAACGGGTCGTTCTACCGGGGGATTCAACGTTTGCTGCATTTCAGCGGTTTTTGGCTTGATGAGTTTCAATCTAAATTTCAGCCTATGTCCACTGGGAGCTGACCAACTAGAAGCCAGAAAGCAACAAGAGCCTGGCAACTCCTACCATAGAAACCTTGCTTTCTGCGAATATAGGTGCTTTGTACCCTTTGGCCCCTAAGTAGTTCCCTTTTGGGATTACCTTATAGGATTCTAAATAAAAGCCACAAAAAAAGGAACTACTTGGGGGCCTATGGGTGGAGCCTTTGGGCAAACAGCTGCAAGGACTTCGCGGGAGCAGACCCACGGGTGGAACTGCCCGTACCAGCTCACACGGGTTCCCGAGGAGACCGTGGTTCAAGCAATTTTTCCACAGAAACAAATCATTAGCGAGTGTGTTATTATTGTTATTGTTAGCATTGAGTATTTAAGTACTGTCTATTCTGTTTTGTTGTTCTTGTTGCTATTCTTGGGCTGATTAATGGGTTGTGGGGCTTGTTTCTGCAGAGGGTCCTGAAAGGTTTCGGGTTGTGGTGTTGGGTGTTGGGCTTGCGAGTCGGGGCTGAAGATCAATGCGCAACCATATTCAAGAAAAGATCAGTGGCAGTGCCACAAAAGCAGCAGCGCTAGCAGCGGCAGCGGCAGCACCGCCCACCACCACTATACCACCACTACCACCACTGCCACCACCACCACCGCCGCCGTCAACACCACCGCCAACACCATCGCCACCGCCTCCACCTCCACCAACAACAGCAGTCATAAGATTAATTTTGAGGGCAGCAGCTGGTGTGCTCTTCTTCTTGCTATCCAGCACGAGATATTGTACTTGTCCTTGGTTGTGCCTCCCCGGCTATATTGATATTTCTACCGACTCCAGTTATGCAGTACTCAAGTTGAAGGCCATGATGCCAACCCTCGACCTTCCAACACTAGCCGTCGCCGGGTGGTCAAAGCTGTAGCAGCCCTTGTAGTCGTCGTCGTGGTAGCAGCAGAAGTTGGCATGGGAGCAGCAGCATCAGCTGCTACAGTGGGGCGAGCTGACGACACTGGAAACGCGTATTGAAATTGTTAATCGCCTTCTCAGTGTCATCGGTCCTGGGAGGAGCTGATCAAGGGAACTGGCGTGGTTTTTGATTCGGCAGCAGATTGCGACCTCTACGACCTGCATGTAGCTGCAGGCGCGGGTGGCTTCCCATATCTTCAGCAAGAGTCATGGCAGGTGCGTGGGAAGAAAGCAAGACCATTTCACCAAGTCTCAGTCTTAACTAACTATTTTTGACCTAGCCCTGGGCAGGACGCAGGTGGTTTCGCCTAGGACAGACATCCTAGGACACAAGGTAGCTTGGCCCTGGTGGAGTGTGCAGACTGTAGGTCCGCAGCCTACGGCTCATTTTTCTGAATTAATCCTGAGCCTGAGACATGTCCTACTCTCGGCCATGCTTGGCCAAGCAGTCTTCCAAGAACATCCAGACCTTCGGAAAGCAAAGCCGCTGGCAGCAAGCCCTGGCTGTGCTTCGTGGCCTCTCGAAGAAAGGCTCCTTGCCCAACGTTTTTACCTACTCCGCTGCGATCGGTGCTGCAGGGCGAGGCAAGCAGTGGAGGAGTGCTCTTGGTCTTCTCCTCTCTATGTGCCAGGAAGCTGTTCTGCCGGATATGTTCATCTGGAGTGGCCTCCTCGCCACTTGTGAGCCCTTGGGCTGGGAGGGAAGCCTCCAACTCTTCACCTCAGCGGCCTCGGTCAGCACGGTGGTCTGTAACACGGCCATGAAGGGCTTCTCCAGGCATTGGCCGCTTACTTTGGCCCTGGCAGCGACCATGAGCAGCTCAACTCTTGAGCCGGACATCACCACTCTGAACACCGCCCTCACGGCTCAAGTCAAAGGAGGCCGATGGCGGCAAGCAGTTGAGATGCTGTTACAGTCGCACACTTCCGGCGAGATTCCGCCTGACATTGTCTCTGTGACTCTTGGCGTGCACGAGTTAGATGCGCAGTTAAACATGCTTTGCTGTGTCAGAACGTGGCAGCGAAGTCGGTCGAAGCGAGGAATGTGCTTCTTGCGATTTGCCCCAGCGATCTAGACTGGCGCTGGGCTTTGCATCTGCTGACTTGGGCGAAAATGCGGCTCCTGCAGCCGGACGTACCTGGTCACCATGATGCTACTCGTAAACCCGGAGGTAGGAATTCTCGCCATTAATATGTTGGACCGAGGTTATCAGTTATTCCTCCAGCATTAGTGCGGCAGCGAACGATGCCCGCTGGACACTGGCTCTGGCCCTTTTGCGGGAGGCCATTATGAAGCAGCTTTGCTGCAGTGATGTCGGGTGAAACTAGGCAGGCCTTCGTGGCCAGACGGTTTCGACTCTGTGAGAGCGCGTCGTCTCTACAGTGCTACAGGATTCTACACCTTGCTTGCCATGTTTCGCCTGGCGTTCTTTGGATTGCCTTTTCTTTGGGTTCGTTGACCTACGATCGAAAGCAGAAGTCACACAAGCAGCCGAAACCATAGGCAGACCTTCCCAGATGCAGCCTGTTTGGGGAGCTCACCCTAAACGCCCTGAGAACAGAAACCCCACTCCCCAAGAGTTGAAGCGCTGAAGAGGCATGTGCTGCCCGACCTCGTCATGCTCAATGCGGCCATCTCCGCTTGTGAGAAGGGCTTCCAGTGGGAGCGGGCGCTCGGGCTTCTAGCGGATGCTGAGCGCAATTAGTTTCCATTGAAGGAGCATGCAGGACAGGTAAAGCATGTACATGCCTGCACGTCTGCACATAAGCGCATGCACACTTCAACTTTCTTCGATTGCGTGTGTCCATTTGTACACGTGTTCAGCTGTTTGATGCAGGTTCGCGTGAGCCGGCAGATTGATTTCGTTCCGTTTCTTTCCACCGTACATCACAGCCTCATGCGCCAGTGCATGTACATGTGTCTCCCTTTATGTAGCAAGTGCTTTACCACAACTTGTGTGTGTGTGCGTGTGTACGTGAGAACTGCTGGAAACATGATACGACGAAGCTACAATATTGCCATTGAGAAATTGGGCAGTTACCGTTCAATTCAGCGTGTTGGCATTCGCAGGCTCAAAAGTTAAAGTACATAATCTGATGTGGCTACAAGAAGGCCTCTGAGAGTACCACAAGGAAGTCTCCAAGGGCAGTACAGGGATTCCAAAACCCGAAACTTTATGATAACCCCCCCTCCCCCCCCCAGATCCCGACCTCATGAATCCGTGCCTGCCCAGTGCGACTGCACGAGTCGAAACCCCAAATCTTATTATGTATACTATTCCATTGCATTGTTCTTCCCTCACCTGCTTGCGAGGAAGTAGATCGTGCGCACCTTCCGCCTGACGTCATCAGCTTTGGAAGCTCGGCTAGACGGATAATAGAATGAAGGCATGAATAGGTAAACATATGTTAGAGATACCAGAATCGTAGTAACTAGGCCTTGTATTATTGATAGCAAAAGTTATCACCTCACATGACAATAAAGATGTTTATGTTAACAATTTCAATATCCGCCTCAAGGCGCGGAGGCCCTAGTCCCCAAGACTGGCACAGCACGGCCGAAAATAGTCCTCAAAAAGAAACTGTTCTAATCACTTTAATGGTAGCCCTTATAACAACTCTATGGCAATTTGTGGTTCTCGACTCGACAGCCTCCCTCGTTTGCATCTTTTGGCAAGGAGCCGCGGCGACTGCCTGCGAGAAGGGCGGGCATTGGGAGGGCGCCTGGTCACTGCTGGCGACCATGCGGTCACGAAGCATCGCACCGGATACAGCTCTTCATCTCGAAGCAGAACATTTTGTGGTCTGGCACTTTTCCAGGTTCTCACAAGAGAGCTCGGGATGTGGTGATTGATTGTGGGGTCTGTTGAGGGTCCTGTTGAACCCGAGCCATGGAAGAAACGCATTAATTCTCGAGCCGAGGTTGTCTGCAATGCCATCATCGGCGCTTTAGAGACACTAGGCCGCAACATCGCTGCATGGACTTGAAATCAAACAGAGTTCCTAAAGCAAGACTTCCGACCTTCCCTAAAGCAATGCTGATGCCTCCCTTGAGAATTCCTCATTGTTCAGTCTCCTGAATCCTTTAGAGATTGGCTGAAAGCAATGCGACTGCCGAATTACGGGGAAGACCCGCGAATCTTTGACATCTTCGTCACAAGTATGATTTGCTACTGCTACGTATATTCTTCCCAGCAATAATACACGTCTTGTTAGGGCTCGACTTGCCAGGAAGGGGAGCTGCTGGAAGATGGCGCTGCAACTGCTGAACTCAATGCAGCACGGAGGGCCAACTCCTGACATGGCAGCGTCAGCTCCGTTTGTCGTAAACTCTGATACCCGAACACCAAACCCTAAGCCTTAAACTCTAAATTTACTAAACCCCAATCCCAAACCCTCAACCCCCAAACCCCAGGTAGGAGGGACAAAAAGCCTAAACCCTCAACCCTGAGCCCCAACCTTCAACCCCAAGTCAAGTCACAGTCAGCAGGCCTCGTTTCATGCCTCGCCAGGTCTCATATGTTGCCACCATGGCTGCCTGCGACAAGGCTCGGTTTGCGTCTAAGCTCATGACTCCACCAGGTAGCTTAAGAATTGGAATTGGTGACCGGCTTGGCTGTTTTCTATGCTAAATCTATGGTTTTTCAATAGTGATCTCGTCGAGGCGGATCCCTATGCAACGACAACCACCTTTTCTATGCTATAGTCACAGTATGATAGCGTCCGGATTCAGGAAGCGGAAAAGCCATCTCCCCCTTCCCAGCTTCGATTGTCCGGTCTCGGTGTAATGATTCAGTCAATGCTACTTCGAGGGGATCGTGTTCAGAGAGTGCTGATCGAGGGGTGAGGGCTTGCACGTGTAGTGTAGCTACCTCAGTGGGCACGTACCCTAAACCCTAAACCCCAAGTGCCTATTCAGGGTAGCCTGGTTCCACAGCCCAAGGCCGAACACTGGGAGCACGCCTTGCTCTTGCTGGATGAGGTCCGCCAATCCTCGCATGCTCCATGGCCATGCATTGGGGCGTGAACAGAACTTCAGCTTGGCATGATCGCACCTCGTTTGCTGCAGAATGCAAGCGCGATGGTGGTCATCTCACTGTGACAGCAGTTCATGATCGAACAACCCATTGGCTGCTGCAAGGAGATGCGGTAAGTCTATTCTAGCTTGGTACGAAATCAGAGGTGCTAAGCAGGCATGGTCACATTCGTGCAGGACCACGACTTCACACATTCATTTGTGAAGCTCCCTGTTGTGGACAGTCTTGGTGACTGCCCAGAATGCATCAGAAATTACCAGGTCTCCACTATCCAGGTTGCCTTCAACATCTGCATCAGCGCATGTGAGAGGAGCCGGCAGGGCAAAGCAGCCCTGGCGTTGCCTGGCTCGAGAAAAAAGGATGCTCTCGGTAACTTTTCAGGCCTCCATATCTTACAGCTCGAAACCTTGAATTGCACGTCCACGAGCCTCCCTTGCATACCTGGAACGCATGGCCCCCACCCAGTCATACTTCAAAGATGAGTCAAATGCATTTATACGTATGCATATCATGAAAATGTACATATGGTCTCGCGTCGCGTGTCGGTACAAACGCCTCCCGCTGCCCATGGCATACACCCGAAATCCTCGTGAGCGTCGTCACTTTCGTCTCAAAAGTGACAACCGTCACAGGGATGGGCCCCCCGAGCCGAGTCCTAAACAGGACTGTTTAGGTGGTTGGGTACAAGGCTTACGGTTTTGCGTTTTGGTATGAGGATTTGCGCACAACACCAAAGATGAAGGACGAGACCAAGAAACCGAGAAGCCAAAGATCCAGAGCGAATGCAGGAGCTGTTTTGGTTTGATTTTATGTTTTTGTTTGTTTTCACACGGCTTTTTTTGGCACAGTGCCAATTTTTCCATACTACACGGAGAACCGGAACCAAAAGCACAAAAACAAAAAAAACAGTACCGGCGTTTTCTCTGGATCTTGCCTTTATGTGCTTGGTGGTCTCAGGTTGGGGGTTGAAGCAATACGAACGCAGACCAGCAGAACCACACAACTATGAACGCAGTTCTGGCATTCTCTGTGCATCGTTGGTTTTTTTTGCTTTTTCGTCTTAGGTTGAGTGGTTGAAGCTAGGCAAAAGCAAGGCCTGCATCGCGAACCCACGCCAAAGGCCGGAATCGCCGGTGGGAGTTGTGTTTTCAAGAGGGTGGTCTGTCTTCGAGAGGGGGGGGGGGTGCCCATCTGCAGACACACACACACACACATATATATATATATACAGTCATATACATACATACATACATACATACATACATACATACACACATACACACATACATACATACTTACCTACTTACTTACTTACTTACATACATACATACATATATATATATGCATGTATGTCTATAAATAGGTATGTATATGGACTTATGCGCACGCATGCATGCATGCACGTATGCATGGATGTATGCATAGATGTATGTTTGTTTGTTTGTATGTAT